GAAGGCAGTCGCCTAACCAACTGAGCCACCCAGGCGCCTCAAGATTTTATATATTTTATTTGAGAGAGAGAGTGAGCGAGAGAAAGAGCATGAGGAGGTGAGGAGCAGAGGGAGGGGAGAAGCAGACTCCCTGGTCAGTGCCGGGACTCCAGAATCATGACCTGAGCTGAAGGCGGACGCTTAACTGACTGAGCCACCCAGGCACGCTCACTCTTCCTAATTTCTTATGTATTATTATATGTAAGTAATAGTATGATCATTGTATTACATGTATATATTACTATATATATGTAGTATATATACTACATGTATTACATATATTACTACATATATGTAGTATATATTTCTACATATATAGTGTGTATATATATACTACATATATATAGTATGTATATAAAATGATCATACTGTTTTAGGGTATCACATGACAGTTTTCTCAAATATATATTTACAAATGGGCAGATATTTAATCTGTCCATATAGGTATTTGAGTGGAATGGATGCTTTTGACTCTAGGGATTTATTAAAAAGCCTGGATTTTGCAGGCAGACCTGATCTGAGTTTATTAATCCTAGGTCCATCGCTTGGAAAAGTTACTCACAGTAAGATTCAGCTATTTCCTCATTTGTAAATTTCTACTCCTACTTTATAGCCTGGTTATGAGGATTAAATGCAACGATGTATATAAAAATGCTGGCATATAACATATGCACAGTAGTAGTTTTTATTTTTTTTAATTTTTATTATTTTTTATTATTATGTTAATCACCATACATTACATCATTAGTTTTTGATGTAGTGTTCCATGGTTCATTGTTTGCTGTAGTAGTTTTTAAATAAAAACCAAAATTTGTTTTTGTTTAGAAAGATTTTATTTTTTTAAAGATTTTATGTATTTATTTATTTGAGAGACAGAGAATGAGAGAGAGAGAGAAGAGAGAGAGCACATGAGAGGGGGGAGGGTCAGAGGGAGAAGCAGACTCCCCGCTGAGCAGGGAGCCCAATGCAGGACTTGATCCTGGAACTCCAGGATCGTGACCTGAGTCGAAGGCAGTAGCTTAACCAACTGAGCTACCCAGGTGCCCCTAGAAAGATTTTAGAAAGAATTTAGAAAGATTACAATTTCTAGCTTCTGATTGTCCATTAATCTTTGCAGGATTTGGCCTCTGAAATGATCTGGGCAGGGTTGTTTTGGACATGTATCTTATGTAAGGCCTCCAAATACTGAAAAAGATACCAGGCCAGAAGTTCAGGTTAGCCAGGCAGAGCTCTGCTGGGAGGCTAGGTTCCTGGGACTATCTCAAACCTAATTTACATAGGTTTCTTGGGGGTATGGTTTTGAGGAACCCCAAGGCTGCCTCAGGCCTTGGGATTAGCGCTATAAGGAGGTAAGGAGGTGCTAATGGTGATGTCTGAAAGTGTACCCGTTCTCCATTCTCCCACAGCCACACTGGGGAACCACTTTTTTGTGCCTTGATGGCACAGTCCATGGAACTAGAACTAGCACAGCAATCCTAACACCAGATGTGCTTATTTTTCATATATCTGCCTCTCTCTACCAGACTGAAATCTATACCTTAGTGTCTAGCACACTGCTGGTGCATAGTGGGCACTGGATAAATGTTACAGTGAATGAATGAATGAAAGGTTTTTGGCCCTGTTGCTGTATAAAACCATCATAGTATGGAATTTCTCACGATCTGGACCTTGTTTGGCTACTTAAGATACCCTTGTCTACCAATAATCGGTATTTATAACAATGATCCTGAGTGATGAAGAAATGGTTAAATATTCAGTATATTTTACTTAGTGTAAAGAGGTTGGTAATATTGTTTAGAAAAATTTCCAGCCAAAATTTTAAAAATTTTAAATTAAAATTAAAAAAAAAAAAAACTTCACAGGGAAACCCTTCTCTGTAGAGTATCTTATTTCCCAAAGGTGGTTACCATACTAGTGTATTTCCCTGTAAGAAACCTGAAGTACGTCACATATTGATTATTTTTAGGAGATATGAAACAGGTTATCAAGCCTCATTTTGCAAATTAGGAAATAGATGTGTCAGGTATCATTTCTGTCAACTACTTGAATGGAAACTAAGATTGTAGTCTTGATTCCGAGTCACTATTTTCTCACTGTTTCATATTAACATCCTAGTGTTTTAAACAGTTTTGAAATTCAGAGACTTTTATATTAAAATTTAAAATACATCTATATGTATTTAAAAGTAGAAATTATAGAGCTGTTTTGCCCACACTGTCCATTTTGTAGCTGCAACCACTTATGGTGAGAGTTTTTTAGTAGAGCTATTTTGTGATAGCAGGGTTACTTGTCATTATTGCTTCCTTTTGTTTATGTGGAAGTTGGGGGAAATTGTGAAGGGTGCGACTAGAAGAGGTTTAAGTTCTCTGTTAGGCAGACAACAAAATGTAACCAGTTGAGGGGTGCCTGGGTGGTTTAGTCAGTTGAGCGTCCAACTCTTGAATTCGGCTCAGGTGGTGATCTCAGGGTGGTGAGATTAAGTCCCAAGTCGGGCTCTGCACTGAGCATGGAGCCTGCTTGGGATTCTCTCTCTCTCCCTCTGCCCCTCCCTCCTGCTCACATTCTTTCTCTCTCTCTCAAAAAACAAAATTAAATTAAACTGAAAAAAAAGGTGAACCAGTTGAAATGTGGGAGTAATCTGAATTTCAGTAGCTAAACTCCATGGAAGGAGGTTGGACCCCCTTTATTTAGATTACTGTTTTATAGGAAATAATGTTATATTAAAGTTCCAATGTATTATAGTGAAAGTAGCCTTGTCGATAGGCAGTCATCCTATGATGTATATAATAAGGATTATATCATTTTAAACTTTTTATTTTGAAGTAATTTCAAATTGATAGAAATTACAGATAATACACAGAGCTCCAATATACTTTTCATCCAAATTCCCTCATTGTTAACATTCTGAGCCATTTGAGAATAAGATGTAGACATGATGCCCCATTCCCTCCCCTTAATATGTTGGTGTGTATTTTTTTTAAGATTTATTTATTTATTTAGAGCGAGCAAGTGAGAGAGAGAGAGTGCACGTGTGAGTGGGGGAGAGGGAGAGAGAGAGAATCTCAAGCTGACTTCCTGCCAAGTGCAGAGCCTGACGTCGGGCTTGATCCCACAACCCCAAGATCATGACCTGAGCCAAAAGCAAAAGTTGGTCACTCAACCGACTGAACCACCCAGGTGTCCCTTGGTGTGTATTTTTTAATACACACAAGGGCCCTCTTCCATGTAACTATAGTACAACCATCAAAATCAGGATATTAAAATCAATCCAGTATTACCATTGAATCCACAGACTCCATTCAAATTTTGCTGATTATTCGATTATGATTTTCATGCATCCAGGATCATATGCTACATTTGTCAAATCTCTTTAGTCTTCTCCAGCCTTGAACAATTTCTCAGTCTTTCCTTATCTTTCATGAGCTTGACAGTTTTTGAAGAGAACAGGCCAGTTACTATGTAGAATTTTCCTCAGTTGGGTTTAATGTTTCCTTGTGATTTATACATTTTTGGCAGGAATATTACAGAAGCGATGCTGTGTTTTTCTCAGTATCGTTTCAGGAAGCACATGATGTTGATTATCCTATTTCTGTGGTATGAACCTTTTATTACTTGGTTGAAAAGGTATCTTTTGGGTTTCTCCCCTGTACATTTAGTTAATAAGAAGGTTAATTAGTAACATGTATTTTGTGAGGATATTCTTCACAGGTATGTCAACATTCTGTTTTTATCAAACTTTCACCCATTTAACATTTTAAGATATTAATTGATGATTTTTGACTGAATTGTTACTTTGATAGTTATCCAATGATTATTTAAAATTTTTTTCAGCATGTCTTCTAGATTTATCAGTTGGCATTGTACTTCTGTCAAGTTTCCTTCTCTTCCTATTCATCCATTCTTTTATATTGGTGTGGGCTTACAGCATTCTGTTACAATCTGTTACTATCATTTTTTTTTTTAAGATTTTATTTATTTATTTGATGGAGACACAGTGAGAGAGAGAACACAAGCAGGGGGAGTGGGAGAGGGAGAAGCTGAGCCCGATGTGGGGCTCGATCCCAGGACCCTGGGACCATGACCTGAGCTGAAGGCAGACGCTTAACAACTGAGCCACCCACGCGCCCCTATCATTATTTTTTTTGATGCTCAGATTGTCCCAGACTTAGTCAGTGAGAACTTTGTCAGGCCAGTTTCTTTGTCATTTTGACAAGTCCCTCCACTCTGAATATTTCATTACTTTCTGTCCAGGAAGATGTTTCTGGCTTATCTTGTATTTTCCCTGCCCCAGCCCTGACTTAGTTCCTCCTCCAATGAGCCCTAGTTTCTTCCAGTGGAGAATGGTACTTAGGAACCAAAGATCTAGGTGTTAGGTGTGTCCACGGATACTGGGGGCTTGGGGGATACCATTGCTTCTAGGCTCTCTCAGTAGATGCTGCTAGGAAACATAAGTGTACGCCCAGGCACACATACCCACACGCTCCATATTATTTTCTGTTTTTATGTATTATCTGTGTCTTTGTCTATGTATTAAAAACTGTGAGTTCATACCAGTACTTGCTGGTATTGCTTTCTTGATTTCTACCTCAGTAGGTCATTTGAATTCTTACTAAAACCAAAGTGATTCTGAAACAATAAAAATTATAAGTACTATATAAATCCAAATAAATTAATAGAGATTATTCTTTTTAACTGGTCTGGGATTGGGGGCAGATACATTTTTTGTAATTTTAAGGAAACAAGTATAAAATATAAGAAATTTCAGGCCTATTTTGAATTGAAGCCTCGATTTTTTTTTTTCCAGTTAAGTCTAGTCAGCATTTTTGTGTGTGTGTACAGTTTAGAAAGTGAAAAGTGACTGTCTTTTTTTGCCTGTTTGTTATAGGAAACGAGATTATGAAGGCTATTTATGTTCTCTGCTGCTCCCTGCAGAATCCAGAAGCTCTGCTTTTGCACTGAGGGCCTTCAATGTGGAACTGGCTCAGGCTGGTATTAAAATACCTTAAAAAATTATTTGCAAAAATGGTGATAAAATGTGTTTAATGCTGAACAATAAAGAAACAGTTATAACTTAGATGTGCATAAGGTCTCTGCTAGTGATTTCTTTGCCCTGCTATTTAGACTTAACCAATTCAATCCCCAAAATAAACTAGCTAACAAACTTAATGTTTGTCATGATATCAGGGTTGTGGGATCGAGCCTGGGTAGGGCTCCTCGCTGAGTGTGGAGTCCGCTTAAGATTCTCTCTCTCCCTCCCCCTCCACCCCTTCCCTGCTTGCATGTGTGCTCTCTCTTGCTCTCTAAAAAAAAAAAGAGAAAAAAATTACTTAGTAAAGGAATGAGTTTATTTAAATGTACATACAGTAAAATTCACTTTTTGTGGTATACAGTTCTGTAGGTTTCATACATGCATAGAGTGATGCATTCACCACCATAGTCATGAAAAAAGAAAAACTCCATCAATCCCCTAAAATTCCCTCATGTGCCTCTTTGTAGTCAGATGCTCCCTTCACCCATAATCTTTTGCATACCCTTCTGGTTCCATTATAAGAGCTGTGAGCATGCAGAGCATGAGATAAACTACTACTTTTTTGAGCCATAATTTCTCTATTTGTAAATAGGTATATTGGAATGACCCTGTGGGTTTGTGGTGAGGACTGCGATCAGATAATCTCTGGGACAGAACCTAGTAAAGGGCCTCACACTCTTGGACATTTGATACATGTTACTTCCTTCCCTGCTTCCTCTAGAAAGCCCCTGGTTCTATTTCCTAGGTTTATCTCCACACTTGACATAATTTTACCATCACTAATCCAATGAAGATTGTTTTTCTTCTCTTCCACTTATTTTTTAAAAAAATTTTATTATGGAAAACTTTGAACATATATAGAATTAGAGAGTGTATTATAATAAATTCCCATAAACCCATCACCCAGCTCCACCAGTTACTAATTTGTGGCCAATCTTGATTTTTCTTCTCTATCCCCACCTACCCCATCCTCACCTCCATCTCAGATAAATTTTTTCATCTGTAAATATTTCAGTATGTGTCTCTAAAAGATAACTCATTAAAAAAATAACTATAATACCATTGTCATACATTAAAAATTTAATAACTCCTAATATCATTAAACATCCAGTGTTCAGATTTTTCCCAGTTGTCTCTCTTCAAATCAGGATTCAGATAAACTCCACATACTGCAACTGGTTCCTCTATCAAATTTCTTTTAATCTAAATGTCCCCCTGCCCCTGTTTTTTTCTTGCAATTTATTTCTAGAAGAAATCTCTTATTTTGGAATGCAAACCTTGAAGATATTGGAAGTAATTTGCAGGTTACTTAGGAAACTCTTAATGACAACAATTTAATTGATATATAGCTTCAAGGAAAAATTAAATTAAATGTAAAGAACTAAACTTCGTTTTTGGCTGAATTATGTGATTATGCAGTCACAGATACTGATTTTGAGACTGTGAAGAGTGCATTTATTAAGGTTTTTGAACGCTGTTTACAGGTTAAGGACTCCGTCTCTGAGAAAACAATTGGACTGATGAGAATGGAGTTTTGGAAAAAAACAGTGGACGACATATACTGTGACAACCCACCCCAGCAGCCTGTGGCCCTCGAGCTATGGAAGGTAAAAACAAAATGCTACTTTTAATTTTTAAGTGTTATTTGAACATACCTTTTGGTGCATACAGTTTGGCTAGTGGCGATGGGGAATATCCTGAAAATAATCTTAGGATCATGTAATGTTCAGAGCTCTGTTAGTTTTGACAAAGAATTTAAAATCATCTGCTAATAATTTGCACAGATCTTTAGTGAATTTCTTTATTAAAGAAAAAAAAAGGAATTTGGTCTCTTTGTGTTATAAGTTATGTATTTATTTTCCACATATTTGCTGTAGAAATTAAGCCCCACAAATTTTGAAGCAGTGGCAGGTTAATTGTCTGTTCTGTCTGCCCAGCACCTCCTTATTCCAGTGCTCCGATCCATACTGTGGGCTGTAGAAAAACACATACTGATCTTTGGTGAAGGGAGACTTGCCCTCACCATTGTCCAGACACAAATATAAAACTGTCTTGTTGAGTTTGATAGAGTTGCATATTCACTGATGAATTTGAAGCATTAGAGAATGGAAACCTATGGGCTAGAGAATTCTTTGGGTAGCTAGATGGATCTAGTGAATAGTTTCATGCACAGCTCTGCAGAGTTTGGAAATGTGCTACATCATGACTGAAGGAAGAGAATTAGGTGTCTTTTGTCAATGATCTGTGTCCCCACTGTAGTGTCATGAGTGCCAAAAGACAGGTTCTGGGGGCGCCTGGGTGGCTCAGTCGTTAAGCGTCTGCCTTCGGCTCAGGTCATGATCCCGGGGTCCTGGGATCGAGCCCCGCATCGGGCTCCCTGCTCGGCGGGAAGCCTGCTTCTCCCTCTCTCTCCCCCTGCTTGTGTTCCCTCTCTAGCTCTCGCTCTCTCAAATAAATAAAATAAAATCTTAAAAAAAAAAAAAAGACAGGTTCTGTGACGGAGCCACCGAACAGACCTGACCTGCACCTCTTCTCAGGTCTGCCCACCAGCAGAGGCAGACCCTGTTCCTGGGCCCCTGATTGACTTCACAGAGCCCCAGTAAGGATGGAAAGCCAGGCCCCCCACAACGGGGGACTGAGAAGAAAAAGTGGATGGGAAGCTATGAGTATTAGATTAGTTGTTTACCTCTGTTCATCTCACTTTAAGAACCTCAACCTTGGTGACTCCGTTTAAAGAAAAGTTTCTCTAAAGCCTAGAAACACAATGAGTTTATACACAAACATCAGTGCAATGGGGGTTTATGCTAAGACTTGCATCGAAGGTCCTGGCGTTTGTCAGGAAACATCATGGAAGACCAGAGATTCCTTCAACACAAATTTATCTTGTTCTTGGCCTCTCTTTAAAAAAAACCCAGAAGACGTATCTGAATTGTAGAATGCTTACACATGTGCCAATTTGTCCAATTTTAATAGCTGCTTAAATTTGGATGATTGCTGTTGGGCAGCTTTCTGATATGACCAGTGTTGAAGTTAACATGAATATTTGAAAGAAGCAGGTAGTGTGCAGAGCAGTTGTCCCCTCTGCATGTTCTCTCCTCCCCATTCTGCTGGAGCGTATGCTTCTTGGGCCACTGTGCAGTAAAATCTTCCATTGGTTCTTTGGAGAGGGGCAGATTCTTTCAGACGATTAGATAGGGAAAGAGTGCCAGCAGGATGTTCAGAGAGCACTTTTCTGCCACAGTGATTCATTGGTGCTTTTAGGGTACAAAATAGTTGCGTATCTATAATTACATATATATTTCATATGGGCTTCTTCATTTCTCCGTGTATTAATGTTAGTTGCAGTTTGAATTTATGTTTATAGCCAAGGTTATTATTCTATTTGGCATCTGTTTCCAAAATTGTTGATACTTTATTCAGCAGATTTTCAGCTTCTTATTAAATACTTGTTTTTTACCTTGATCTCTGATTTCCCCCAGAATCAGACGGAAGAATTATATTTTGCGGTCAAGGAACAGCAGCCAGTATGGGTTCAGCCTTGAGTAAACAGGAATCTGACTTACAGTGGTTAAATATTTCTTGAGTACTTTATGTACCAGGAATGGTGCTTGATGGTGGTTGCAAAGATCAAATATGCCTCACTCCACTTAGACATGTACAAAATAAAGCAATATGAGGATTCTGTATGACTGAGGAATCCCAGGCTGATTCCTGGGACTGGGGAGAGACCTGTGGGGAGTTCTACCATGTAATAATGGCAGGGCTGAGAGCACGTTGCAGCCAAGGCCATGCAGCACTTGGAGCTTCTGTTAGGTTCCTGCCGAGCAAAATGGGCTCTGTGCTCCCTGCTTCCACCCTTTGTCACATAGATGTGTGTTGATGAGCATGCTAACTTTTACATTTTAGTATCATGACATCTTAGAGTCTTAGGTGGAGTATGGGATAGTCCTAAGATTTTGTTTCACTACCATATTTATTTATTATGAAAACATACCTCATTGTTGACTTGATACGGAAACAATGTTTTTAAAACTTACTTGGAAATAATTTCAAACTTTCAGAAAGGTTGCAAAATTTAAAATAGTACAAAGAACACTTCTATAAGCTATATCCAGATTCACCTGTTAACATTTTATCCTATTTGTTAATGATTTGTGCAGTGCTCACTTACATGTGCATGTGTGCTCTGTGTGTGTGCGTGCAACATGTGCATTTACACACTCATAATTTTCATCTGAATCACTTGAGTGGAAGTTATATACATCATGGCCCTTTATCCCTAAATACTTTAAATGAGTATTTCCTAAGAATAGGGATATGCTCTTCTGTAACCAGAACAGTTATTGACTTTTGTAAATTTAACTTTGATATAATACTTCTATCTAATTTTCCATTTATGTTCCATGTTTGTCAGTTTCTCTGGTAATGTCTATGATAGTATTTTTCCCCCTCCAGTATTGGATCCAGTCTAGGGTCAGGTATTCGTTGTCATGTCTCTTTCACCTGCTTAATCGGGAACATTTCCATAGCTTCTCTTTGTCTTCTAAGACATTGACATTTTTGAAGAGTATATAGCCCCTTCCCCCCTGGTGTTCTAAAGTATTTCTCATTTTGGTATTGTTTGATGTTTTCTCATGACTAATTCGGTTTATGTGTGTTTGGCCAGAATACTGTGAAGGTAACATGTTCTCAGGGTGTCATGTCTGGAGGCACACTTTGTCCATCTGTCCTTTATTGGCATTGTTAATTTTCATTACCTGGTCAAGGTGTTGCCTGGTTTTCCCAGGCTATAATTATAATTCCTCTTACAAAGTAATTGACTTTAAGACTATGCATGTATCTTCCTCCTCATCAGTTTCTTCCTAAACTTAGCATTCATTGATGGTTCTTGTCTGATTCACTCTTTACCTTTGATGATTGCAAAATGATAATTTCCAGACTCTAGCACTTCGTCAATATTACTGGTTGGCACTTGGCATTCTACCATGAGGAAGAGCTCTCACTCTTCTGTGTTTATTTATTTGTTTATTAATTATTGCTATGAACTCATGAATTCCTATTTTTTCCAGTAGTTTATAATTCATTACTATATTTAATTATTTTGGTGTTCAAACTGGCCCAGATTTGGATAGTGGGAGCCCTTTCAAACTGGCTTGTAACATGCACCCCCATCACTTTTGGGGGCACTTTCTATTTTCTGGCACAGTAAAATATTCTAGGATCACCCCTTGTAACGTGCACCCCCATCACTTTTGGGGGCACTTTCTATTTTCTGGCACAGTAAAATATTCTAGGATCACCCCTTGTAACGTGCACCCCCATCACTTTTGGGGGCACTTTCTATTTTCTGGCACAGTAAAATATTCTAGGATCACCTTGAATCTCCCCTGCCCCAGCTCTGGAATCATCCATTTCTCCAGAGTCTCGTTTCCTTTGAGAGAAATGGGACTGCTGACCATGATCTGAGCACTAGATGTGCTTTTTCCTACTGAGTGTCTTTGTTTGCTAAGATAACACTGTGCCCTGTGGATTATTTTCTTTAGACCTTTAGTTATTCTTTTCATGTTTGGAGAAGTGGTTATTTTCACTAAGTAGAATTTTTATCCTATGGAAAAAAGTTTATGTGGGATAAAGAAGCATAGAAGTCAAGACGCATCATGTAGCATAAGAAAAAAAGTCTAGTGGAAATGTTTTGGATGTATCATCTGTACTTGGAAATGTTTTGAAATGTTTGCTAGGGACATTTTCTTTTCCCCTGATATTTCTTTAACATGGCTGTTTATCTGGTGATGAGTTATTACAAATGTTTCCTTACCTAGTTTTGTATTTGGTTTGTTTATTTTATTGAGGTCTGCTTAAGTCATTTCTAGTACTTTCTAAAAATTTACAACACTCTTGTTTTTTTAGGCTGTCAAAAGACATAATCTGACCAAAAGATGGCTTATGAAAATCATTGATGAAAGAGTAAGTTGAAATTGCTCAAGTCTTAAGTGTTTTCTTCCTTTTTAATCTGTAAGCTAATTCCTCAGGGAGGAACTGTCTTAATATGTGTATTATATTTTGGAGGAAGGAAACTTTTAGAGGACTGTGCCATTCTGTCCCTTCTCCCTCACTGCATGCCACCCACCTCAGCCCCCTGCCCCTGTGTCTTGAGTCAGACAGGCAAACACAAGCACCCAGGCAGAGGCGTATGTGTGCACACCTACATGCTACTGTTTTGTGGGTTTTGGTTTTTTTTTTTTAATGGAAATTTTCGGACTTACACAAAAGTAGAAAGAATAGTGTAATATACTTTATCTGTAACCCAGCTTTAGCTATGAACACATGTCTACTTTTGTTTCATCTATATTCTACCAACTCCTCTCGTTAAACCCTACAGGATTATTTTAAAGCCAACCCCAGATATCATATTAGTCAATCTGCAAATGTATATGTATCTTGAAAAGACTTAAAAAAGGCTTTTAGAAAACATACCCACAATAAATGATCATACCTTAAAAAATGACAGATAATTCCTTAATATCATCAAAACTTGAGTAGTCGTGCACATACTTTTTTTTTTTTTAAGATTTTATTTATTTACCTGACAGAAACACAGTGAGAGAGGGAACACAAGCAGGAGGAATGGGGGAGGGAGAAGCAGGCTTCCCGCCAAGCAGGAGCCCGATGCGGGGCTCGATCCCAGGACCCTGGGATCATGACCTGAGCTGAAGGCAGATGCTTAACAACGGAGCCGCCCAGGCACCCCAGTCATGCACATACTTTTATGTACACCTAGTATTTGGATCTCTATCCAGATAGTAGAGGCAGTAAGGAAAGTCTGATGGTTCTAGTGAATGGAGTACTATACTACATTCTAAGAACTGAGTTCTAGGTCCAACCAAGCATGCAAATTGCTCTCTGTCCTGGGCTAACTTATATAATCTTTCTGACACATTGTTGGCTCAGTGTTCTCATCAGCCTGATATTTATCACATACTGTTGTCATGAAAATGTTAAGTTTAGTTTATTTGGCTACAACCCATTAATAACCATAGGCTATAGTAATTATAATACAAGCCAAAATGGGAGATAATGATTCAGCATTTTAAAAAAAATTGCTCAGTTGGCCTACGGAGTTAATTGGCACTAAAAAGATCTATTTTTCAGGTGTTTTCTATTTTGTTTTTTTACGATTTATTTATTTTAGAGAGACAGTGCATGTGCACGTGTGGGGTGGGGCGCGGTGCAGAGGAAGAGGGAGAGAATCTCAAGCAGACTCCCCACTGAGTGTGGAGCTTGTTGGGGGGGGGGCTCAATCTCATGACCCTGAGATCATGAGATCATGACCTGAGCCAAAACAAAGAGTCAGAGGCCTAACTGATTGAGACACCCAAGCACCAAAGGTGTTTTCTGTTATTATGAGGTAAAGACAGAGATAACTTTTTGGTTTAATGGAAAATAACATTTGGCATTTGTAGGGAGGGATATTTAAGAGTAAAAGACTGGGGTCAGTCTCCCACGTTGATCTTTAAATTCGATGTAATCCCTATAAAAATTCCAGCTGCCTTTTTGCATAAATTGACTAGCTGATCTTGAAATCCATATGGAAATGCAAGAGACCCAGAATCACTAAAGCAATCTTGAAAAAGAAGAAAGTTAGCTCCAAAGTTACAATAATCAGACTATGGCATATTGGCATGGCATAGACATATAGATCAATGGCAGAGAATTGAGAGTCCAGAAATAAACCCATATATTTATAGTTAATTGATTTTTTTGACAGGGGTGTGAAGATAATCCAATGGGGAAAGAATAGCCTTTTCAACAAATAATGCCAGGACAACTGGATATCCACATGCAAAGGAATGAATTTGGATGCCTATTTAACACCATATACAGAAACTAATTCCAAATAGGTCAAACACCTAAATGTAAGAGTTAAAACTATAAAACACTTAGGAAAAAACATTGGCATAAATCTTTGGGATTGCAGGTTAGGCAGTGATTTCTTAGATACGATACTAAAAGCCTAAGCAATAAAAGGAAAAAACAGGTAACTGGACTTCAGCAAAATTAAAAATTTCAAGAAAGTGAAAGGCAGCCCATGGAATGGGAGAAAATATTTGCAAGTTATGTATTTGATAAGGAACAAGTATCTAGAATATGTAAACAACTCTTATAACTCAACAATAAAAAGACAAATAATCAATTTAAAATTGGGCAAAGGATTTGAGTAAACATTTCTGCAAGGAAGATCTACAAATGATTTTCATTAGGGAAATGCAAATCAAAACCAGAATAAATGACTTCTTTACACTCATTAGGATGGCTGTAATAAAAGAAATGAACAATAACGAGTGTTGGTGAGGATACAGAGAAATTAGAGACCTTCATACATTGCTGATGGGAATAGGAAATGGTGCAGCCACTTTGGAAAAACCGTTTGGCAGTTCTTCAGAAAGTTAGACATAGAGGTACCATTGACCCAGCAATTCACTCCTATATTTATATGCAAGAGAAATGAAAACATGTGTCCACACAAAACTTGCACACAGACGTTCATAGCAGCGTTATTCATAATAGTCCAAAAGTGAGAACAACTCAGAGTCTATCGATGAGTAAATAAAAACATAATGTATATCCATACATGCAATATTATTAATAATTTCTTCAGTTAAAAAGAATCAGGTACTGGCCTTGGAAATCCCTTTTACGAAGATGGTGCTGAAGGCTAAGAAGGAAGCCCCTGCCCCTCCCAAAGCCGAAGCCAAAGCAAAGGCTTTGAAGGCCAAGAAAGTGGTGCTGAAAGGCGTCCACAGTCACAAAAAAGATCCGCATGTCACCTACATTCCGACGACCCAAGACACTGTGTCTGCAAAGGCAGCCCAGATATCCTCGAAAGAGCGCCCCCAGGAGAAACAAGCTTGATCACTATGCCATTGTCAAGTTCCCCCTGACTACTGAGTCAGCCATGAAGAAAATAGAAGACAACAACACACTTGTGTTCATTGTGGATGTCCAGGATAACAAGCACCAGATCAAACAGGCTGTGAAGAAGCTCTACATTGACGTGGCCAAGGTCAACACCTTGATCGGGCCTGATGGAGAGAAGAAGGCATATGTTCGACTGGCTCCTGACTGTGATGCTTTGGATGTTGCCAACAAAATTGGAATCATCTAAACTGAGTCCAGCTGGCTAAATCTAAGTTTTTTCACCAAAAAAAAAAAAAAAAATCAGGTACTGATACATGCTCCAACACAGATGAACCTTGAAAACCTGCTAACCGAAAGAAGCCAGATACAAAAAACTACATATCGTATCCCTGCATTTTTTTTTTAAGATTTTATTTATTTGAGAGAGAGAGAGCGCACAAGCAGGGGGGAGGGGCAGAGGGAGAAGCAGAGTCCCCGAAGAGCAGGGAGCCCAATGTGGGGCTCGATCCCAGGACCATGAGATCATGACCTGAGCCGAAGGCAGACGCTTAACCAACTGAGCCACCCAGGTGCCCCATGTATCAGTGCATTTTTATAAAACGTCCAGAACAAACAAATCCATGGAGACAGAAAGTAGATGAGTGGTTTGCTGGGGGATGAGGGAAGGGGGAGATGGGAAGTAACTGCTTCATGGGTACAGGGTTTCTTTTTGAGGCGGGGAAGACATCTCGGGGTTAGATCGTGGTGATGGTTGTACAACTTGGTGATTATACGTTACCACTGAATTGTACATTTGAAAAGGATGTATTTTATGGTATGTGAATTAAGTCTCAAGTTTTTTAAAAATGTAAAAGATCAGACATAATTTTTTTCCCTGGGATCATTGCTGGTGCCATTTTCTTCTGATTAAAAAAAAAGGAAAGGGTATGTTTCCTTAGCAATAGAGTCTTTGTAAATGTATTATTATAAAAGTAGCTAGATGTTCTTGCTCTGAGATGTACATTTTTCTGTTTCTGGAATATAGTGTGATCAGGTAACATAATCATCCCTGTCACTTTATTGAACATGGTTTCTTTGGGGTGGGGGCTGGTTATGATCTCCTTTCCTCTTCTAGGCACCTTTTCTTTATTAAGAACATGGACTTAACAGTTAAAATATATGGGTTTGAATCCTGTCCCTACCACTTATTAGCAATGTGACCTCGGGCATATTACTTAATGTATCTGTGACTCAGTTTCTTCATCTGCCACGTGGAAAAAGCATTAATTCCTTATCTTTTGGGAAGAGGTTTTTAGGATTAAGAAGATAATGTCTAAGGTGCTTAAGTGAGAACTCGGTTCTGTTTCTCATGATTCCTTGGGCTTTCGAAGGAATGAAAAATTAAACTAACCCCATGTCTGTGTGATTTGTACGCTGACATTATTCCCAAGGTATTATTTTGAGGGGTGATTTGTAAGTATTGAACGTGTAGGACTTTAATATTTTAATTTTAAACTTATTGTGTACTAAACAATATATACTAATTTTTTTATTCTTTATTAGTTCTTTAGGGCCAAAACAATGGTGCCTTTTCTTTATACAATATTGACAATTCATCAAACTTTATTTGCATTTTGTTTGACTATAGGAAAAAAATTTGGATGACAGAGCATATCGTAATATCCAGGAACTGGAAAATTACGCTGAAAACACACAGAGCTCTCTTCTTTACTTAACACTAGAAATACTGGGTAAGTCTTTTTTCTGTTTTATAATTCTCTTTTTCAAAGAAAATACCCTTCAGACTTGACTCATAATTTGACAGTCTGATTAGTTTAACACTGAAGTTTTTCTTTGTACCACCAATAAAGGAAGTTTTTTTTTGTTTTTAAACAAAGAAGGGGAATATATAGCTTTCTTTGGAGTACAGACTAATCACAATACTCAGGCTCTCATAAAAGTACTTTAGCTGCCTCATGGGAATACTGTGATTAATACTCTGGTAATTGCAGATGATTTTTCTTTTTTAAGTGTCTCCTACAATTTGGAAGGCCTGGGGCCTGACTCTTCCTGTCAATAATACTTCCCTACATTTAAAAAAAAAAAAAAAAGAGTAGAAAATATAACACTGCATTTCTCAAAGTTTTTATGAGATTTTTCTTTTTCTTTCCTCTTAAAAATAAATAAATTTAGATGATACTTTTCCTCACCTGACTTTAAGTTGGTGAAGTCTTATTGTAATGAGGAAATTATTTGGACCAAAGACAATAGCCTCTCTTTTGAAGAAGGTCATATATCTTTATGTCACCCTAAAGGAATAACACAAGTCCCTATTGAGATTCCCAGGCCTCTTTTGCCTGTACACCCAGTGACACGTTTGCCAACACAATGAAAGGAGGGAGCAAAGAGCAGAATGTTTGTGAGGCGTATATTTAAAATGAGGTCATATGGAAATTGCATGGAGGAGAAGAAATGGAAGACTTGTGATGGTTTTCCAAGACAGCTGATTAAAATTCCAAATGTGTTCTCGGTGTGCTGTAGTCCGAGGAAGACTCTTTTATTTAAAAGTTGAGGTTCGGAAACCTGTTCATTGGTAAACAGTCAGCTTGTTCTCATGCCCAGTTTTGCTCAAAGAAGTCCTGTTTTTCAGATATAAAACATAGGATCAGCACCTGCTTTTCCATGCGTAGGTGGTTTCTCCAAGCTGCTTCTATTGAGTTGTTGTGCATATAAGGAGTAAAGAGCAGCCCTGTTGCTTAATTTCTGAAATCATAGGTGTAAAGGATCTTCATGCAGATCATGCCGCAAGTCATATTGGAAAAGCCCAGGGCATTGTGACTTGCTTGAGAGCAACGCCCTATCATGGAAGCAGAAGAAGGGTGTTCCTTCCCATGGATATTTGTATGCTGGTAAGACTGTTACTTGTTTCCTCTCATGATTTACCTCAGGAACTCGGGGAGGGCCGAGGTCTCTTGGTTCTTTGCTTCATCTATTCAAATAACTGCTTTGAAATGAATGCTGATTGCCTTTTGGCTCCGGTTAGCAAGTCAGAATTTTATCAGTTAGGCACTTTGGACTCTGAGGGATACATATGTTTGTTTTCTTGCTTGTATAATTTTGTTCTACCTGCAGCGGTGGTTAATTAACATCTTGTTGCATATTCTTCTAGGTGTGTGTGTGTGTGCATGTGTGCGTGTACACACACGTGCATCTACATATATGTTCAAAGCAGAACAGGCATTATACTGTACATACTATTCTATCACCTGTTTTTCTTGAACTAAGTTAAAGTGTGCCTTTAGATTCCTAACGTGACACGTATTTTCCCACACAGCATGGGGTTTCACAAGAGGATTTTGTACGGAAGAGCCAGGATAAAAACGTGAGAGATGTGATATATGACGTTGCTGGCCAGGCACACTTGCACCTGAAGCACGTAAGTAGCCTCTCTGCCGGACCATTTGGGAGACGGCCATTCTAGACGTGGCCATTGCTAGAGCGTGGTTATGGTCCCCAGCCTTCATTCCACTTCTCCCTGAAATCCCAGTAGGTTTATCTCAGGGACTATTGTGAACTCTCTCCAGTTTTTTATGGTCCCGCTTTCTCCTTCTCAGCGGATGAACACATCCTTCCTCAGCTTCCTCGCTGAGCCCCTGCCTGCTCTGTGCCCCCACCAGCTCTCGCTCGCAGGGGACAGGCTGTTTCTCTGCCTTGCCAGGGCCGATGGCTCCTTTCCCGGGGGCTCATGGTCTCAGCGTCTGCAGCTGGCCTGATAATTCGCCCCTTTTCTGGGCAGCCTGTGGACCCTTCTGTGGCTCATTTCCCCCTCCCAGTTAAACTTTTGTGAATAAGTGGTCCATATTCATCATTCCTTCAAGGCCAGCATCACCCCTGGCACTGTTCATCATGCTCTCATTTCGCTTCCCTCCCGCCTACTCTGATAAGCACAACTAAATAATCTCCTTATTGCCACGTTTAATGGCACCTAAAACTCTCATTCACATTAACTCTTTCCGCTTTTGACACCACAGACATTTTTTCCTCCTTGAAACTTTCTAAAATCTTTTTCCCTTGATTCCCTGACCTAAACTGGTTCCTGATTTCTCCTGCATACCACTTTCGGTGATTCCTAAGAGTTAGTTCTTCATGTTTTCTCAAACTGTAACTTGTCTTCTGTTGACTCCCCCCACCCCACTTTCTTTTTTTTTTTAAGATTTTTAAGCCATCTCTGCACCCAATGTGGGGCTTGAACTCACAACCCTGAGATCAGGAGTCACGTGCTCCACTGACTGAGCCAGCCAGGCGCACGCAACCCCCCCTTTCTTGAAACTGTCCTTTATTCCAATAATGCTATTCCTTCCCGATTCTCCTGGAACTATTCCTTGATTCTCATGATGCTGTTTCTTCCTGGTTCTTCTTGTGAATCCCGCCTCCCTTTTTTTTTTTTTTTTTGAGCTTCAGTGGATCCTAAAGACTTATCATTTACCTGCAAATCTCAGGGCCTTTGTACTTGCTGTTTATCTGCCTGGAAGATGCTCTCCACCCCCCAACTCCTTCACCCCAACCCCATAGTCAGTATTAAATATCACCTTATCAGAAAGATCTTTCCTGGCCACCGTATCTAAAATAACATCCTCCCGGGGCACCTGGGTGGCTCAGTCATTAAGCATCTGCCTTTGGCTCAGGTCATGATCCCAGGGTCCTGGGATCGAGCCCCACATCGGGCTCCCTGTTTGGTGGGAAGCCTGCTTCCCACGCCCCTTGCTTGTGTTCCCTCTCTCACTGTGTCTCTCTCTGTCAAATAAATAAATAAAAATATTTTTAAAAAATAAAAAAATAAAATAAAATAACAGCCTCCCTTTCCATCACCCTCAGTCCCTTTACCTGGCTTAGGACTTTTCACTACCTGACATACTAAAAGTTTGTTTAATGCGTCCCCACCTCATAGAATGTAAGTGACTTTGGTTCTGTGCTGTATTTCTTCAGCATCTAAAGTGCCTGGTACATTATAGGCACTCAGTAAATACTTGTGAAATATTAAATAGGTAATCAGATTGTAAGCTTTTTGAAGGCGAAGAGTCTATCTTAATCTTTTTTTTAATTTCCTGAAGCACGGTGTAGATAAAATACATGGAACTTTAGATGAAAAATTACTTAAAACTAGCAGAGTTTTAGGTAAGATCTGAGAACACAACAGAATCATTAAATCAGCCCTGTGTTGGAACCTTGGAACCTGAATAGTCGCCAGTTGATGGACACTTAAGGCACCTGAAAAATACAGATTCCTAGGCCTCATCCCCTGGAGATACAGTCAATCTGGGATGGGGCCAGGAATTAAAATTTCCAAATGATTTAATTTTTTTTTTTT